AATGTAAGTCATGCACTTCTTGCTTGTGCCAAGTAAATTGTGCCTAACATGTAGCCACGTGTGGGTAGTCAAGTTGGCTCAATGTTTAGCCATTCATTTTGTTTTCGGTCTAGCTTTTTTGCCCCTTGTAGCCTAGCGAATCACCCGGAATATCCGTTCCACGAGGAGTTCTGATGGTATGCTATCCTCTTCCTCCTTCACTGGCAATGCTGACTGAGTGAATGCTGGCGTGTCTCTTCTCCTCCTTACCTTGTCACCTTGACAAGTGTCAACATATGGTCTGTAGAATGTTTGCACGTATGGTGGAGGGTAATTTGTAAAAATCTGGGCTCGTTGAACAAACTGATTTTGGGACCAGATGATGGATTGACTATGAACCGCACGTGGAGACTTGTTGTGGTAGAAGTGAAAAATGCAAATGAAAGAGAATCGACAGGGAATGCCTAGTAGTAAGGGGTGCGCTGCTCTCGTTTGCCCTCTGGGCAGAGCTAAACAACTCTTCAGGCATGTGTTGTAGGGTCTAGTTAGACATATCGGGGAAACATATTCTCGGTGGTGTTCGTAGAGGATGGTGGTAAGCTGGATGTGGGTTAGTCCAGGCTTTCTTTAAGGAATGGGATGAAATTTCCTATTGGGACTAAGTCCTACCACATCCAGATCAGCTTCACTTATTATGTCTTTCCCTGCAAAGTAATTTAAAATGGCTATTTTTTGTTTGCCATCGAGTGCGTGCTGCACTAAATTCTATTCTACACAGTCGATGGAGTCAGAATGTGCCTGTGAGTTGATTAAATTTACATCAACCGAAACACATGCCTTTCTAAATGCGTGTGAATTTCAGAAAACCAGACATTCATAAGTTCCCTCGCGATGCGTTCAAATTGTCTCAATTTTGCTTTTGCAAATACCTGGTTTTGTGTTGCATACGTCCTAAACATGTTGACGACCGGCGCTTTTGAAAATTGTAACTTCTCAGCATGTCAGCGGTGTGGTGGTTGCTCCAACTGCTTTTTGCCCTTCTGTAGTTGCTGTTAAAGCCAGTGTTGATGGGGAATAAGCAAAGGTTGGTGATGGTGTGGACTGGTATTGGATCACGAACTGGTGCCATAGTTTTATTCCTTACCACAGCCTCTCCTCCT